ATGCAAACAGACAGAGATGCATTGCCATGCAGAAGAAGGGTAAACCTCACAGACCCCCAATATGCCTACCCTGTTAGCTTTGTCCTGTACTGCTGTCCAGAGCAGCCCTGGCGCCGTCATGTTTTGCCCTCAGCTAAACCCAGTGTCTGAGGCACTGTGTGGGGAATAACTTACTTTCCTAAAGTCTTTCCTGCCTTTAGTTTTTTTAATGGAGACAGCCCAGAAGAATATGATGATATCCTATGACTATTTACAAATTTGCTTGGGTCAGCACTTTCCATGTATGGCTTTATTTCAAAATTTTTCCATGGCTCTGTTTTTTAACGAAAGGCAAACTCTTTTAAAAAAACACCTTAATTTTGTTGTTTTTGGTGTGGTCTACATGAAGAAGGTGAACAGAATGTCACCATTTGACTCAGGTTCAACAATTCTATCTATCCCATCCCCCTCCCACACAGGTAGGGAAGGAGAGAGAGAAAAAGAGACTTGGCTGGATTGAAAACTAAACTGCACAGCTTTAATTAAACACCAATGATAAAAGAAAATATATACAATTATATACAAATGTGTTCAGATATCTGCAAAAGCCTCTTGCTACCCCACAGCCCCAGTAACTCCCACAGCACTCTGCTTAGCTGTGAACAGTCTGGAAGAATCATGGAGCTGCTGCTGGAGAAGCAGAGATGGATGAGGGTCAGGAGAACTTGAGCCTGTGGGTCGGTGGTGATGAATGGACGGAGTCCTCCCCGAACACCAGGCATGGATGGAAGAGAAGGGAAGGAGAAGCAGGAAGGAAGTTGTCTTCTGTGATCTCTGACCTTCCTCTGAGCTTACGTAGATATATGGAATGGAATATCTCTGGTCAGTTTTGCTGCCTGTCTAACTCGGCCTCCTATTGGGGGGTCATAGATCTCCCCATAGTGTCTGAGCTGGCAGGGCAAAGATGTGACCTTGAAGACCCAGCAGTTAGAAAAACATTCCACTGTTACCAGCCTTAGTTGGAACAATCTGCTACTAGTTAAAAGAAAGCTTACTGAAAGAAAAAAAGACAAACAGTAAAAGGAAAATGGGCTTCATCCTGTCTCAAACCAGGACACAGAAGTAGAAAAAGGGAAAAGATTGTGCCTGTGGCCCATGCATAGGTTGCTGCTGCTCAGTCTAGAAGCAGACCTAGTGATTAGCTGCTGGTTTGCAGGACTTCATATAATGGCACTCTATAGATAGTCACTGAATCTTTGTTCTACTAAATATTCATGTTTATTCCTATAGCTAAATAGTTAACTTTATGTAACACCAAAAAGAAAAAGTTGCTGAAGGAGCTTTCAATAGAAATACATCATTTTCACACAGCACAGTGGCTGTTGGGATTTTTTCTTCATCAGAAGACTGAAAAGTAAAACATTTTCTGTCACAGGTTGGGACAAACTAGTTTTGGCTCTTCTCAAGGAAAGCTCAGAGGACTCCTCTAATTGAGCTGTCCAGATACAGATCACATGACAAATTCTCACCTTTGTTGTAAGCCTGTTTATTTTAGTTAATAGGGACTCTTCAGACACAGGTATATTTAGATCTGCTGTAATGGGTTTCAGTTCCTTGGAACTCCATGAAGCACAGCTGCTTGGCACAGTTCTGAGCAGGCAGTGCCCTCCAGCATAGCCTGCTCAGGCCTTCCAAAACCTCATTAACTCTCTGGACACCAAATTTACACAGAAGAGACCAGCAAAAGAAAACTTGTGTTCCAAATCAGGAGTAGCTATGATTTCCAAATAAGACGACGACTGTAAATAGGTGTTATTAAGGGTAGCTGATGTTTCCCAATATTTCTTACAAAATCACTATTTTGGCCAATAATGTTTTTTTGCACAAGACTCATTCTAGAAAAAAAAAAATTAGTCTATTAAAAAAAAAAAAGCCTATAAAGATGTTTTGAAATCTTCAAGACTGTATTTCTTTTTCCTAATCTCTCCGTTTTGCCACTTTGCTCTCTGGAAAAGACATAAGAAAAAAGCAAAGTGTGATTAAAAAAAGAAAAATTATTGGACCAATGGACTCTTGTGCACAGTTCAGTTTGGAAGAAGATGGCGAAAATTAGTTTTTCTGCATGTTTAAGTTTGTGAAAGAAATATCAATGACACATCTTTTTTTAACTGACTATATATATTTTAGTCTTTTCTCAATAAGTAACATGCAAGAAACCAGACAGGTTATAGATAAAAAATTGCAAAACACATTTTGATATGAAATTATTCTCTTCAAGAGAAGAAATAATTTCAAAACTTCCATTTGGCAGGGAAGGAATAGTTTTAAGACATTTAAATAATCTTCATTTATAGTTTGTTGGTGGAATAGATGGAAAAATCTTAGTTTTACAAGTTCTGGATGTTAGGTCACTAACACAGCTTGGTTTTCTGTTTATTAACTTTGAAAAAATACATTTTATTCAATCATTTTAATTTTTAAAAATGCGGCAGATTTGTACAGTCATGAAATCAAGTATAACACTTTGTGCTACTGGAGCAGAACCAGAAAGCTGAAGACCCAAACCAGAAACCAGTACCACTTTTATTACAGCAGCTTAACTATCAAAGCTTAGAGTGGCACTTTCTACTAAAATTTCCGTAATATAAAACAAAATCCTGGAGGTTACATTAATCGCAGTTATTTACATATTAAATTAAAGGGCAGCACTGGTTTTGTTTTCATCTCAATTGTATTAATTTAAAAAATCAGTACTTTTTTTGCATTACTTTATAGATTGGTTGTATTCAAACACACAATGGTATATTCTGTATCTACACAAAGAGATGGTGTGTGATATAGACACAGGCAAATACATGTCTGAATATGGTATTCAAATGTGATTATAAAAATAAGATTTCTTTGTTAGAGGCCTGACTGGGGAGCTGTCAGCTGTATTGCGTTTCCACCCTTTTCTAGAGTGAAGTTAAGTGGGGTCATTTTGCTATTTTCCCAATTAACAAAGGAATAGTGACACCAAAGAATACTGCTGTTTTGTACAAGAACTTCAATTGTTTCCTTTTTTTTACTATTTTCCCCCTATTGTATTTTGTAGAATATATTTTGCATTAACTTTTCCACCATTGACTTGGCGTTTATAAATTCCAGTGTTTTTAATTAGAGAAGGTTCTCCATCTATAGATATATGTGGCAGAATTCTTTTCACACAGACTTTTAAACAGCAAGTAGTTACATGAAGGCTCTTAAATCACTTGGCCTGCTACAGTCTGGATTATTTTCTCTCATGCCTACCTAATCTGTCCTTGAATAACATTTGCAACTCCTTTCCTTGGAATTCTGCTTGACTGAATCCTGTTTGCAGGTTTTTTCCCTGCAGAGCACTTTTTCTGTCTTGCACCCTACTTTTCTCAGCTGCTGTCAACAGTGGGTTTCTGCACGGAGCCAGTTTCCCCTGACTGCAGGGATTCAGCAGAGGTCTGGTGCTATGACATGCTTCCCTTCTTGTGGTTCTGTTGCATCGAGTAAATGTTGTTAGATTAATTTGAATAAGTACCATGTTATGCCTCTGATAATTAGGTACATTTGGCTGCATTATTTTAAGATACCCAAACTTTTTACTGTCATTATCATAGTGGGCAGGCACATGCTTTTGGGTACTTCCTTGAAGTAAGAAATGTTTTCCACTTACCTACTTCCCTCCACCACCATCTAGGGTGGAACAGTGGGGAAAAAAGGGCAATCTTATTGGGCTGAAAAGTGTTGACATCAGAAACACCTAGAATACACAGGTCTTCCTTACCAAGACTTCCCTGCCAGAGCACTCATCACAAAGGAGGAAAAGTTTAGCGCATCAGGTATTTCAAACGGAAAATACACTGGAGCACGTCTTGTAGCAAACAATCTAATGTAAAATAGAAAATGAGCAGATTTTTTAATATTTCTCAATTTATACATTTCAAAATTAACTTTACAGTTCACTTTTTACCACGCCGTTATGACAATTATGCTGCTTGAGGACTTCTGCTATATTTGAACACTCGCCTACTAAGATACCTAAAATACATTATTTAAGTAACTCTTTACCAAGTTTTATGTTTAGTGGTTTTCTTCTGCACAGACAGTGCTCTTTTAGTGTGAAGATTTACAAGTTTTCATTTAATCTTTGTGCAAGTTAATATAATCCTTCATCAATATTTTGTTTTTGTATGAAGATTGCACTTTATAGTAAGCAACCATTTCCCATGTGTAAAATCTAAGCACTATACACTTAGCAAGCCCTCCCCATGTTCTTTCTTTAGCACTGGCTCTCTAGCATACTGTTTCTACTATTAGAAAGAGGAAAATTGTCTATGTCCAGGTTAGTAGCCAAGAAAAAATGAAAGATCAGATTCAAAATCTTATGCTAGGGTTCCTTCTGCTTGGAACTAGATAGGTACATCCAATTTGTACTACGTTTAGGTGGGAAGTGGGTATGTTGAAATATTAAATAATTTTTCTGGCAGGCATTATACTTTCTTCTGCAAATATTTACTATTGAAACCTTTTAGAGCTGAAGAAGCAATGTTGGCCGATTTATAACAAACCAGAAGTGCTCCTCTGACAACAAGAAGAAACTACAATTAGAAAACACGAAGGACAGCCAACTGTGGGAGTAGTTCTTGTAAGGCAAGCCTGGGAACAGCCCTTTTTGTAAGGTTGTTAGAAACCACTTCCTATCAAAAGTCTTCTGAAAAGGTTTTTGAGGGCAAAACTTGCTTCTCTAGATCACCTTTCTGCCTCTATCATATTTTAGCTATCACAGATATTCATTACAAAAAGCAGCAGAGTAATTTATTCTTTTACCAAAAATGAAACTGTGACAAGTAATGGTTACCCGATACTGATAGATGTAATATCCCACTTACAAGTTTGCCCTGTTTATGGCACTGTTGATCTCTATAAACTTTTGAGATTATCTGAGTTCAAAAAATGTTTGAATTGTATGCATCTGTTCATATTTAAGTTGTTTCTGTTAAGGCACAATGTTGGAGAATGGATTAGCCTGTGAAAGGCAGGTGAACAAAACCTTGGTATGTTATATACTGAATATTCAGGAAGAATGTTCTTCTGAAAATTGGGTTGACAGGTATCACTGTTCTTTTTAATTAAGTGAATAAGATTTTATTTGAATTTGATTGACAGTTTTTAATGCCTCCATCTACACTAAGCAAAGAGAGTTTTATTAGGGACAATGGGAAAGGTTTAATCATAGGACCACAAGTCAAGATTAGGACTGCTCTTTTAAAGAGCAGGTGTGGCAGAGAAGGTATGTTGTGGTAATTTAAGTCCACAGCCACACACTGTGCAATATCCTGATGATTTCTTTTACAAAGCATCACTCTGACAACTTGGCCAGCCAGATAAGGAAATCTCTGGTTGTCCCAGACAGAGTGAGATCTTTCAAGAAGGAATCTGAGGGCTCTGCTAGAGATAGAACACACATATCAGATTTAGAGTGCAAGTCATTTTATCTGGGGTAGCTTGTTTAAAGATAACACAAGTGCTTTAAGATCACTGTAAACTAAGTGTTTATCTTTAACTTTGACAAATAATCAGTGTGGTCATGATCTGAAGGTGTAACACCCATAGTGCAATTTGTTCTAACAAATTATAAACAAGGCAGAGAAATGCACTGCCTAGACATACTTCGGAGAGTTCTGGAGTGATGTCATGGGCGTCATACTGCAGTCTAAAACCTAGTTTGGAGATTGGTGATGACACCATCACAGCTGAGGAGATCAGTTTATTTTAGCAGATGATAACAAATACCTCACTGAGGGGCACTTTGGAGGACAGGGGCGAATGGTTTGAGATTCACCAAAATTGTGCCTTCTTTGGGCACAACCTATCTATCAAGGAGAAATTCTTCCCGATTAACTAAAAAATAATGAGATCAAAAGTAAACTAAAATGCAAACTAGAATGTTTTCAGAAATCCAGATGTGATATCAATGAAAGTAAGGTCCTTTGCCACACTTTTTTTTTCTTTTTGTTTTCTTTTTTCTTTTTTTTTTTTTTTTCTCCTGAAGGTTCATTTTCAGTTTGAATTTAGAAGTCTATTTGTGTTTCAGTCCATACAGAAAAAAGTGGATCTGGATCAAGGCCCAGTATCTTTCTCTGGTTTTACTTCATCAATAAGTAAAAGACAGACATATGGTAGCAGGCATAAACTCCTATGCAGAAGAAAAATTATAGACCACATCATACTGTGTAGATAGAGATTTTATTCCCTATCAGAAAGAACTCCCTCTAAAATACTCCAGGCAGTTGCTATAGTACATAGCAACCTGAACAAAAGGAAGATAGCCATAAGATTTACATATGGCAAATTTACATCAGGAGACGAATCACTTCTCTAATCATGTCATGTGTACTGTCTTTTTGGTTGCTCCAGTATGGGGTCCATTTCTTCTAGCCCCTGATGATGAAGCAAAGAAGGCATTTTTGAATCTACAAAATATCTTTCATCTGAGATTTGTGGTGTTTGTATGTCAATAATTAATTAAGACTGAGAACATTTCTGGGAGAAATAAGTTTCATCCCAAATGTGTAGATGTGAGGAGAGAATTGATAATTAGCAGAGCCTCCTGCGCTTAGATTTAAACATATATACTGAGCTGCCTTTGCTCTTACGTGTTCTGATTATATCTAAATAGTTGCAGACCCACAGCTCCAATTAACATTGCCATCAGCTGAGTCCAGAAGCAACACACACATATGTATTTACATATATATAATTTTTACATTCTTCTGCTACCATATTTTTAACTTCCTTGTGTCATTAGATGTTTTTTAAATGACATTAAGAAACATTGAAGTAATAGAGGGGAAGATTCAAACTTGGTGGCAATGACAAACTTACAAGTTTGAAAGCAGTGACATTTCTGTAAAGAAATAATGAGGCAACCTTAAGGTTTCCTTAATGCCACTCCATCATAGATACATATGACTAAGTCTTTAATGACATTACATACTTTTTGACATTATTTTGCAAAGATGTGTTACATACTTTTATCTCAGCTTTTATAAAAGGAGCAAAAATTTCAGCCTAAATTGGAACCTGTATGGTCTGCTGGCTGGGCTGGGAACTATGAGTTGGGGTAAAGGCAAAACCAGTGAACCTCCATCATCTATGTAAAATAGCCACAAAGTTGTACAAAATACTTTGCCAAAGGTTTTTGGAGCTTTTTGGTCACGTTTGGTCACATTTTAGGGAGGGGTTCCAAATTAATGCTTAAAAGGGCCTATGTGCTCTTGCTCTTTCAAGATTACATCTCAGTTCTTGGCCTGCATTTTTTCCTACTATAAACAACTTCAACAAGTTGAATCAGATTCTACAAATCTGTGTCTTCCTCCTGTCTTTCTTCCCCCTCTTTATAATGTCTTTATAATGAAGGAAATCAGGTTGCTTCTTCCTTATCTTGTGTGATATGTTCACTTGTACCTAGATGTTTTCTTTGTGGACACGTATAAACATATTACACCTGAGCAACTGGCATTTATGTGGGGAAAAACAAAGCCTTTATCTACTTCTTCATTAGTTGATAACATGTAGCTGTTTAAGAATACAGTGTGTCCTCGAGGTGGGCATCTCTTTTAGTGCCTTTTGCTAAGGAAATCATGTGTGTTATTTGAAATCATCCCAGAAACCCAAGGCAAGAAATTTCCATCAGCATGAGTCTGATGAAGTGTGGGATTTCTGTTGAACTTTATTTTCTAAAACAAATACATGGTGCCAGTAGCCACAGGACAAGAGTCTTTCTAAAAAAAAACATAATCATAATTGGCCCATATAACTACCTTTCCATTGTTAGGCTTTCGATGCTGAACAGTGAATGAAATGAGCACAGCATAAATTTACATCCAGCTGGGAAATAATTTCAAAGCTCCAGGCATGTTCACAGATTAAAAAGCAAGTATTGAGCAGGAAGTACCAGTCTTAGGGTCTGTGAAATCTCACTGGTGACCAAATTCAGCTTGTTCCTTCCCCACAGCTTACATGGGATTCCTCAACTTTCACTTAACAGTTACTTATTTGTGTTAATTTCTTTTGTTTGATAAATCAGGTCAACTGTTGTGGTAACAATGAGCAAACATTACTATAGGAATTAAATTGTTAACTACAATTGGAGAAAAATTACAGAGCAGAAGCTTTTGCAAAGTCTTGTGGTTTATCCCAACAGTATAATTGCGTCATGGTTATTGGCACGTCTCCCAGCTTCCAAGATGTTGTTAGCAGCAAACAAAAGTACAGTACATCTTTATTTTGTGGAGCATCTGCCATGCAAACATATTCTCACATGCTTTACCCAGTAACACACATGCAATATGAGAAATGCAAGTAAAATAATGTTTTAGCAGTAACATTTTAGATTGAGGAGCATTCCTTATTATCTTTGCAGAGCATAACCGAGTTGATTTGACCAACAGGATCAGCTGCTGAACACTTCAAAATAGCAGCATTCACCATTACTCTACAGTTGGTTTTTACAAAATCTATTTCAAATGGATTGTGTTGCTTATAGGAACTGAGTGTCCAGGTATTGTTCAACAGTTCTTTCCCATTATTAATAAACAAACATGCAGGAGTGTTCTATTCTAGTGACCTCTTGTTTATTTATCTCTAAATGACCTGTCTGCCCCACCAAACTCTTCTTTAAACCATTTCTCCAAATGTGGCTGCTTAAAAGTTGCCAAGTAGCTGTTAAAATGCCTGTGCTGCCCATAGTTCTAATGACTACTGCCTTCTCTTTATCTTATGCAATAATTCTGCATCCGAATCTTCCCAGAGCGTAGACTTCTAGAAGCAAGACATCTGAAAGCATTGCAGTGTGGTTGTAAAAACGGTTGATTCTCTTCAAATAGTTTTTTTGAGGCTTACATAAACTGAACCAATTATGTAAACAGCACTTTCAGATGGCAAATAGGATAAGTAACTATAAAAATGTCTCTTTGAACATGAACTATTCATAGGCTCATGTACAACAAACCTGTGTCCAGGGTGCATAGTGCAATCCCTTTTTCTGGGTAGTTGATCCTGACTCTGTCAAGAAACTGAATAACCCTATTTTTATATAAGCAGGGAGGGCACAACAGCATTGCTGCTATATTGTAGCCAATGCTATATGATACAGTGCTAAGGGCCTACTGCTAAGAGCAGGGATTTGATGTGTGACAGAATGACATCTTCCACCCTCCCAACCACCAGACCGCAGGCTGTTTTGGGTACAGATATGCTCTGTATGACCTTTGTAAGTTCTTCTTTGCCCAGTACCATTACAGATTGAGTGAACTAGGAGCAAGAGTGAGCACAATTCTCTTTCTTTATGACTTGGACAATGTTAGGGAAGGAAAGGCCAAATGATCCGTGGTCTCTGCTCTCTGGACTGCTTATATTTATTCGTCAGTAGCTATGCACAATAAAGAGCAGAGGCAGGAATAATCTGAACCCCAGCCTTTCCTGTCCCAGGTGAGAGCACCATGAGTGCCAAATGCTGCCCATTTGCTCTCTCCCTATTCAAACCAGTCTTTGACTCTTCACAACCAGTCCACTTCAGTAGTTGAACTGTCTTTGGCCATTACCTGCAGTAAAAGGGGGGGGACACGTCTCTTTGTCCCCTTGTGTGACCCACTGGATAGCCACGTTGCTTTTGGGCAAGATAGTCTCACATGAGGCAGGCAGAGCTTTTCTGGAGATGACTCCATCTAATCCAGTAAGACCAGCTGTCAAAATCACAGCCAGGTTGTTAACAAGCTCTAAGTTACTTTCAGCAAGTTTCATACTTTGTCACCACTGTCATCTCTCAGGAAT